CCCCAAAACCCCAAAACCCCAAAACCCCAATCCTACTTTTCATCATTGAATATTTATTCTCAATCTTAAAGGTCCCCTTCATCTTGGACTAAGTTTTCATTTGCAAAGTTTATATCAAACTCTTCTTGTACTTGTGGTAATGTAGAATCAGCTCTTTTTTCTCTACAAAGTCAACTTTGAGTTACCGATTGCCTCTTTGAGTATCAATGGCACTTTGATCTTGCTTTGTCCGTCAGTGAAGAACTGGTCAATTTCGTAAAGTGATTTTGAGGTTGACTTGTAAGAAAGGAATTCTATGGGCTCCATTAGTACACAATCAAATAATGTATTATTAACAAGGCTTTCAAGGATATAGTGATACGAATTCAATTGAACTAAATCGTTCTTGATAGATGCTAATCAGAAATTTAGCAGCTATAAGTCTATATTACCTTCATTCATGCACACTAAAAGTTAAGCAACCAAATTACAAGTAAAGTCTGTCACCGAAGGATTGCCACATATAAACTTGTATATAGTGTCTCTGGTGGAACAACACTCCTCTTTGGATCTACAAAGTTAGTGCTGAAATTACAATTCTTCTGAAGACTTTTCATTTAAACCATTTTGATTGATCCAGCTATGATGTTACCACAAGGATTTACTGAATGTTTACAACTCTGCAATATCTTCCGTTAAGAAGATTAAAAATATTGGTAATTCCCTCATAAAATTCCTCAAACGAGGTTGCTAAAATGATCAAACATGATCTTACTAGATATATTTACTGAAAATTCTTGCAAAGTTGATATTTTGTAACAAGAGTCACTTCCTATACAACCATTGAGACTCTTCCATGCTTACCATGACCTTCTGTTGGATTACTTGTAAACAATTTGTAAAGAATCCCCATGTTTTCTTGCCATAAGATGAATCCGCTACTCATCTTAAGACCTTTGACAAGAGGAAGTTGGGGCAATTCAGCCATTTCAACTAAGTCTTCTATACTCTGAACCTCAACACTGTAATTGTTATAAAGAGAGTATTTCTGAATATCTTCAAAGCTAATGTACGGAGACAAACCAGTGGAGGATCTATACTTAACGATGAGGCTTCCTTGTGTTCCTTGGTTGACCCAAACCTGAGTTTTCTGCATTAAACAGTCTTCCTTATTCGAAGTTATTTGCATTGACACAAAGTCATGAATGAACAGTTGTTTGTCTTTAATAACAACATCTTTGTTCATAAACTCAATTTCAATTTCTAGAAATTAGAACTGAACTTACTGTCGATCTTCATTGTGTTGTACTTAATTTGAAATTCCTCTTCTCTTTCATGAGCATTAATCATTCGTTTAAAGTCATTATCAATGCAGCAGATGTTACAGTTGTGAAGAGTAATGAAAGTTGTCTCATTATCTATATTCAAGTTAGATCTTAGTCCAAAATTAGAACTTACCATCAGCCATTTTAATGTCTTCGTCGACTGGATCTTCGACTTGAGGCTGAAATCCAAACTTCAAGGAATTTGCTTCTGACTTTTTGGCCCAATGTTCTGAAGATAAGAGATAACCCTACTATAAATGTCCAGGATCATGTTGATGTTCTTGAGTTGTCCCTGCGACCCAGCATAATTGAGGGTGAGTTCATTCAATGTTGGGATTTCAATTAACTTCTTGATCTCATCATTATCAATCAACATGTTCGGGTTTATATCATCTGTACAATAAACTGGGGACTTACTAATTTCAAGTTTAGTAATCTTTAAGAAGTCAACAATGAAGTTGGTCTGGTCTGCATATTGGAACTCGTTAACTGTAGGTTAGTTAAATATAGATACCTATCATATACTCTGGGTCAAACCCATCTTTGTACTCTACAATATGTTAGAGCTATGGCAAAGAATGAAAAGTAGATGTGAAACCTCACCTTCTCTTGGCTCTTGTTGCAACATTGGCTTCTTGTACTTACAGCTAGAAATGCTCATTTTCTCTTTAGCATGAGTTAGAACCATCGTGGGATAAAGTATTTTCTCCAATGAGTAAATGTGTTCTTCATGAAGCGACATATAATTCTCTATGACAAGTTCTTCATGTTCAATATCAATTGCAGCCTCTAATAGATTTCCAATTTGTCTTTTCTAAAATCAAAGTTTAGAGGCAAAATTTTACAATTTTCTGAGAATTTTTAGAGCTTAAATCTATATTCAGAACAAAACCTCAAGCTTTTTGATTCTTTTGTGCTAAGCATAGAGAAATGAAATCGCTTGGGAGAGAATAAGGGTTAAAATCACTGTAAACCAGACTAGTAAGATATATGAAATGGATTCTAGAGCCTTTTGAATGTCCAAAATTACTTAACATTAAGAAAAAGTTTTTAAACAATTGGAAGTCGATGGTTTAAATGCTTTAAAAATTGGAAGCTGATATGACCAGTGACTTACTCTTATAACCAACTTTTCAATCACATTCGAATGGATATAAAGGAAGGATATGAAGCTTTGGTATTCCTGAATTGGCTCAGTCTGAGTTGTAATGTTTAAAGTTTCAATGCTTGAAAAGATTTTATTGGTATAGATCTTTCCTATATGCTCAATCAGCCCGCTCATAATGCTTTTAAATGCCGAAGGCTTACCATCATTCTAAAAATTATGCAAAGTCTTACCCAGTTTGATAAGCAGAGTACTCATCATCCATATAAGTCTTTCCTCTTAGTTGAAGTCCTATAGCTTTGGTTAAGCCTCTATGGAGTCTGAATAACTCCTATTTCCTTTATAACTTATAAGAGCTGGTACCAAGAACTAGAAGGGCAAAATTCAATGCTGAGGGGACCTTTAAGAGTCATTTTTCTCTCTTTCTTAAGCACATAAACATTAAATCTCTTTAAAATTCTAAGAGTTTGGAACTTTTGACAGAGACTATAGAAAAGGAGGTGTATGCCACCCCCGAGACATGCCAAATTAGCTGATGTTTAGAACTAACTTACGACTATAAAAAGGTTAGCGAAATGCTTACATTTATCCTATTCCTGCGAGATGTCTTTTTAGGTACGGAAGCGCAATTACATTGCTATAGTAAGTTGTTAGAACGAGTTTACAAGCTTGACAATAGTATGTGATTTAAACTGAAAGTTTGAGGTTTTAGAGGAAGTTTTAAGGGCTTACCTTTCCTGATTCAAACTGGTTGAAGTCATCTCTGTCAATTTTCAGGATCTTCACCTTTTCACGAGTAGTTACGAGACCCTAAAGTGATTCATTAATTTAGCCATAAAAGATCAGGATAAGTGACGATGATAATTTCAGCTTATTTCTTTTCACTTTGAAAGATACTAATTCTTAGTGAAAATCTCATTTCAAGCGCACAAAAGTCTTGAGCCTATTTCCCTGAGTAGAACATCCATAGCAGTCATTAAAAATATTGCTGTGAAGCGATGTCTTACTTGGAGATCCTTTAATCTTTTCTTTTTGGCTTTTTCTAAATAAAACATCGTAAAATAGACAGAAAAGAATAAATCCATGAAAGATCGAAAAAATTGCAATAGATCTAAAAAAATAGATTTTAGCTCTCAGGAGAGACTCAGATCCTCATGAAATGTTCCAAAAGATTTGGCTTACTGTCTTCATCTGGATCTAGAGATCCAATGATTGTATGTTCTACAATTTTAATACAAAAGTACTTGGATTCTGATAATATTCGGAAACCGACACTTCGTTGATCTAGAATGAAACAAAAAATCTTACAGTAAAGGCATCAAAAAGTACCTCTCTGACTTTGTTTAAATCGTCTTCCTGTATAGATTCTTCCCTCACAAAAATATTTTGAATGGGCTCTTGAAGTTCTACAAAGGAAGTTAGCATATCTTTGGTTCGTTTAGATGAACTGGGTGAAGAAACATGCTTGTTTAAAAGCTTACCAAAATCGTATCAGATTTCCTTGAAATTTGGATACTCGTTCCCAAATCGACCTAATAATGAAGGATTTGCCAAGAAGAAAATGAAGTATTCAAATGTTGTGAGCTCTATTTCTTCTGTCCCAATATGAAGGCTAACATCAATATATTTGTACATCTTCTGTAGCTTGATGAGTCTCAATCTTTTATGATCAGTAAGAGGGTTAACAACAATTTTTCTTTTATTGATGATGGATTTCTTTAGAACAACTTCTCTGCTCTCTTTCCAGAAATTATGGCACGCTTTGGATAGGAGGGTCATCAAAATCTCATTCTGGTCCATGTACCCATAAAATGGCAGCAAATGAACACAGATTGCTTGGAAGAAGGATCCGGCTGAAGTTATTGTTAAAGACTTACTCTTTGGAAAAATCAGTTCTCTTTTGTTTTGCTCCTATAGTAAAGGGTTAAAGCCTCTTCTAATCTTCAAGGCTTATGTTTCCAGCCCAAGAAAGTGTGCTTAGCCTGGACTAGGAACATTTACACCTAAGAGCCCGTATTACCATGTTTTTAAGTAAAAAATATAGCTAATTCTCTAATATTTTCTTTAAAGGGGTTTTGGGGTTTTGGGGTTTTGGGG